GTAAGTGTTTAACAGATCATTTAACACATCTCTTTTTAGAGTGTGTATGATTCTGGCCAAGTTGCAGAGACTGTGGTAAACGTTGGTTTTGAGAGTGAAAACGTGAAGTTGACATGCCGTCCCCTTCGATCAGGGGTGTCATACTCGACCAGTAAAGGGGCCCTATTAAAAATCTCAACAAATCTGTGGGCCAGAGAACATGTTTTTATTTCATTTTTAATCAGTGTTGTACTATAACCCAAACTGACCATTGTTTGGTTAAAATATGCAAAAAAACTTCAACAGTAAAATACAGACAGTAGTATCAGACCTTGAAATATTACATGAATACTTGAAATATTTAAAATTTAAATGTCCCCAGAAGCTCGATCTTTTAAACCTACATATTTGCTTGAACTAGGCACCTGATGTCCTTTCTTTGCTGCACATTCATTAAGCCTTGGGCCCAATTTCTGAGCTGCTGAGCTGACGTTAAGGCTACGTTTACATTACAAGCCTCATTGCTCAAATCTGATTTTTTGCTCAGATCTGATCTCTCTGACACGATGGTTTACACTTGTTTAGGTAAGTGATCCAAATCTGTCATTAATGTGAACAAACCGGCGTCCTGAAATGGCCCCCATCCTACTCACGTGAATGAATGAAAATGGTCCTATATAGGATATGTATCCTATTTGTGACCATGTGACCTTATTGTGAACACTCAGATCAGAATTCATGTGCTTTTTTCTCCTCTGTGCATGTGCCATCATTCAGCGTTACCATGGCAGCAGCGCCGAATAGAAGGTAAAGCCTGTAAATGGTGGAAAAAGCAACACATCTCACTTTTTTCCACCTTTGTCTCACTAATAATGAACAGCTGAGAGTCGGGTCATTTCAGGATGCCGGTTCGTTCACATTGTCAGATTTACCTAAATGAGTGTGAACTGTCCTGTCAGAGATCGGACTTGAGCAAAAGATCTGAATTGAGCAGTGAGGCTTGTAATGTGAACATAGCCAAAGTGGCTCAGGTCGGATTTGAAAAGATCACATTTGCTTATCCACACAGCCCTGAAAACATCAGATCTGATTCACATTGGGGCAAAAGATCAGATTTGTGCCACTTCAACCTGGTAATGTGAACGTAGCCATCTTACCCCAGCTAGGGGGCGCTCTGTCCTGATAGTGGGTCAAGATACCCCGTTTAAAGTTGTTTTTTGTGCTAGATAAACAGAGTTGCTGCTGCGGTTCATCTGCTCTAACAGTGTTCAGGTTTACACATCGTCACGCTGTATGTGATGAACTCAGATGTGGTTCAGGTTTACAGTGGACGCTGTTCTTAAGGGGAGCTTCGTCCAGACACAGAAGTGGTCCTGGGTTGATGTTTGTGTAGTTCTGTCTGCTCTGTTGAAGCTGCTCCATTGAAGCTGCTCTGAAGCCACAGAATCTAATTATTATTCTGATCAGAGTGTGTTCTGGTTGTGTTTCTGCTGACCCGCTTGGCCGGTCAGAGAGGCAGATTGTCCGTCTCTGAGGAAAATCACTCTGAACAAACAGGAGTTCAGTACAGTAGATTATACAGTCTAGACACGCGACTCAACTTCACCCCTTAATCTGCTCCTCTGTTTCACTCCTCTGTCACCTTTCACTCTTTTTCTTTCTTTTTGGTTTTTAGTTCTTTCTTTTTTCTGTCTCTTCTTTCTGCCTCTTTCCTTGTTGTTATTCCCTTTTGTATTTCTCTCTTTCTGTCTGTCTTTCTATCCACCTGTCATTTCTGTCTGTCTTACTTTCTGTCCATCTGTCTGTCTTTCTGTCCCGCTGTCTTTCTGTCCATCTGTCCTGCTGTCTTTCTGTCTGTCTGCCTGTGTCTGTCTGTCTGTTTGTCCTTCTGTCTTTCCCTCTGTCTGTCTTTGTCCCTCTGTCTGTTTCTGTCTTTCTGTCTGCCTGTCACTGTCCTTCTGTTCGTCTGTCAGTCTTTGTCCTTCTATTGGTCTGTCTGTCTGTCTGTCTGTCTGTCTGTCTGTCTTTCTGTCCCTCTGTCTTTCTGTCTGCCTGTTTCTGTTCTTCTGTTTTTTCTGTCTGTTTGTCTGTCTTTCTGTCCCTCTGTTCATCTGTCTGTCTTTCTTTCTGTCCCTCTATCTGTTTGTCTGTCTTTCTGACCTTCTGGCTGCCTGTCTATCCATCTTTCTTTTTCTTTCTTCTTTTCTTCCAGTCCTTCTTCATTAAGCTCTGTATTCATTGTAATATACTGAGTCACTGAAAGGCTGTTTGTCGGTCTGCTCTTTTGTGAGGAGCCGCGTATGAAAGCGAGCTGTGCTTTTAAATGTGACTCCTCGATGACCTCCACTCTGACCGTTTCTGGGAGCCCCATATCTCTGCTGAACAGATGGCTCAGTAATGTATCGATTATTGCTGGAAATGAAATAATCTGCTCTGTTTTTGGAGCAAAGCCATTACAGGTCATTTCAGCTGTGTGAGTCACTTCAGTCCTTTCAGCCATGTGAATTAAAAGCACAGCAGTGCAGGCCGAACATCACAGGATATTATAGAGCAGAACACATGAGGCTTATTTATCCCAGATTATCACTTACATACACAGCTATATACACATTCTCAGCCAATCACGCTGCACTGTCAGAACTGATGGTTATATAATGTTCCGTGTTTTAGATGTTTTGGCAAAAAATGAACGTTTCTGTTCAGTGTGTCTATTTTCAGTAGTTCTATTTCCGTGAAGGCTTCAGTGGCCACGTGTAGTGCATATACAAGCAGATGTGTGTGTTTTGCTATAAGAGGACCTTAATATAAGCATCATTTAAGACTAATATCGCTGTGTGTAGACACACGTACACTCTGAAATGTAAACACACGCCGAAAGACGCAGTATGAAGTGCACGTTAAGCAAAATCCCTGTCAAGTTTCTTTTTTTCCTCCTGAAATCCTCTTAAGGATTAGAACTGAAGCGCATACTTTTGCAAAATACACACACACACACTCTCTCACACACACACACACACACACACACACACACACACTCAAACACACTCATACCAAGAAGAAAACACACCAGAAATGCCTTTAACTGTTTGGGCTGCACTGGTTATGTTGTGCTGACTGAACTACTGCACACTTTGTCACTCTTTCCCTTTATTCCAGCTTCCATTCTTTTCAGGAGACTCACTTTCAGTTTCTCAAAGAAACTCCAAAGTTCAGTCTTAGAAGTTGGTTGATCATTTTCGGAAGTAATCAAACACATTCAGTGATGTTGAGGTCTGGACTCTGGGATGGTCAGTCCATTGTTCAGCTTCTTTGTTTGACGTGTCTGTCTCCTTTTCTCAGTGAGGCTTCTTGACAGCTACACATCCTTTCAGACCCATAGTGCTGCGTTGTCTTCTCACAGTGGAAGGATGGACAGTGGAAAGATTTTCTCCTCTGTCTTAAAGATGAAAGCTTTAAGTGCTGTTTATCTGGGGGCAGTTTTGGTGTCTACCAAATCTTCCGGGTGGTTGTTAGGAGTCACATTTTACACACTGTTACAGCTAAGACCCCCTAAGTAAACATTTAAAACTACATATAATGTCCCCCCATAAGCATTCAGAACTGAAAAGCTTTAGATTTACCATATGAAAATTTGCTATAGGCTAAAATAAGTTAGTCAGTGTTTCTCAATCATTTTCATGCAGATGTTTGTGTTTAGGTTGGAAAGCTCACCTGTTTCAAACACTGAATTGTATTAGATTAATTGTGTTCAAATCACCAGAATTTTAAGTGAATTTGTTAGTTTATTAGTCAGTCTGTTAGTTAAATGGGGGGAGATGTCACATTTGCACTTACACCACTTTCAGCCGAATTGTTAATGAACAGTAGGTGCTGGAAACAAAGTTTCAGTTTTCATTTGTAGCAGAGACGTGTAGGTTTCTTATATAAGTAAATGCTTAATCTTGTTCATATATTTTAAATATTATTTAGCATTCAACATTTTCCTCATATGTCTAAAGGGATGAGAAGTCTGCACAGCTCTGTATATATGACCTGATAAAGAACGTCGCTAGGCTGGCGTTGGACCACCATGCAGGACTATTTACCAGCACAGACGCTATTAACAGTGTATTAAAAGCCTGGGGCCTGAATTACTGAGCCGTTTTAATGTCATAAGGCCGTGCTTTGCTTTCGTGCCCGCAGGCATGTGTATATGTGTACGTGATGGATCATTTACTCCGTCATCTACAGCTGCAGGTACTGACTTTCAGAGCTGAAGAGATTAGCAGAAAACGAACTGAAAGCTACTGCCGGCTAAACCATGCATTGCATGCAGTGGAGAGAAATGTAATGCACTGGATTTACTTCATTCAGGTGTGTAAATTATTTCTGAATGAATGAAATGCAGCAAAACAGGTTCCTTGCTAAGTGTACTCGCTTTTGGCAACAGTAGTTGTGTTGATGTTATGTATTTCGTTCATATGGAAGTAATGCACACAATTTTTCCAAATTTTTGAGTAATTCAGAGATGTAAACAGAGTGATTCAGAGTGGTTTGGTGTGAAATGGTTCAGATGTCTTTACAGTGGTGGTGATAGGAACCAGGGGTCGCCATGTCTACAACACAAATATAGACATTTTATTTACTATCTAAAACCACCAGTGAACCTACACATCTTCTGAGTTTTTTGTTATAAAGCTGAAAACATAAGTCATCTTTGGAGACTATTTTGCCGTACAACATCCTGCGTATACCCCTCCGCCATGAATGGATTAAACCGCTGTGAACAATTCTGACTTGGTAAGTTTCTCTAGAACGGAACATTTCACACCAAACCACTCTGAATGACTCTGACTACATCTTAACCACTTAATTGTGTAGAAGTTTTGAAAAATCTGTGAAGTTCCCATTGAAGGTTCATGATATTTTTGCCGTATCGTTCACCCCTATGCTTTCATGCGCTAACAGAATTTTGCTAGCCGCCTTTAAAAAGCTGTATTTTTAGTTGACCTCTATTTCTCCCTATTTTCTTGTCTTTGCAGAGCTGATTTCTAGCTGTACCAATGCCGGTTGCCAGGACAACTGTGCTGTCACACGGACGGGTCCCATGTGTTACTGCAAGAGCGGCTTTGAGATCAGCCAGGATGGAAAAACGTGTAAAGGTCTGTCTCTCACCATCCACTCATCACACGGTCAGATGAGGTTTCGGAGTATTCAGGAAATGTATGTCAAGATCAGCTCAAGAAGAGTCCTTGAAAGCGGGCCGTTTCACAGCAAACGGTCACTCTGATCCCTGTTTCTGCACCATTTTACAACAAACTTTTCCCACTTTTGTGAAAATAAGATAATGTAAACATTAATAAAGTTTTAAAATGTCAGATTTGCCAGCCCATACAGTCCATATACGAAAAAATAAGCTGCAAAACAGCCTGTTTTGAGTTTATTGTTTTCGTGATGTCATAAAAACCAGCACATTTACGTATTCAGCCTGCAGCAGTTTAGCTCCGCCCACTCACACTGAAGGTATAAGGAGTGTTACAGCTCAGACTGCTTTTTCTAAGGAGGTGCAATACAGGGCAGCCGATGTCGTTACAGAGCTCATTTACATATCTTAGTCTTAAAGGCACAGCAATAAAAACAGCCTGTTTTACTTTCATACATGTGTAAATATGATTTTCATATCAAATTTATTTTATCCTATCTTAGTTTTACTTAGTCTTTCAAACAAAAACTAGCATAGTGATTCAAGTCAGCACTTTCAACTGAAGTGTTTTTAACGTTGTTTTTAATGCTGTGACGTTTTGAACCAGTCATGTGACTTGATCATGCTGCTGTAATTGGTGACTCATGAGGGCTAAAACCGAATGTTGTTATAAGTAGACCTCACACGAAAAAAACACAAGAACAATGCAGGATATGGTCCTGTAAGGCTAATGTAAATATTGTCATTTTGGAGAGTAGTGTTAAGTAAAAATCGATATACTGTAAATACTGTGTCCAAAAGTGTACATCTGTATTAATTTAATTGATTCTATATATTTGCTTGTGTTCAGATTTTGATGAGTGTACAGTCTACGGGACGTGCAGTCAGACGTGTACGAACACTGAGGGATCATATTCTTGCTCCTGTGTGGAAGGTTACCTCGCCCAGCCGGACAACCGCTCCTGCAAGGCCAAGAACGGTAACAGTGCCACACTCACAACACAATGGTCCTATATAGAACAATGAACACTCAAAGAACAATTTGCATGGTTAAAAGGTTCTTTGAATGGTGAAATGGTTTGATCAGGCATGTTTATTTCCATATAGCGTACTTGATATGGCACACAGGGCATTTACTTGCGGCCCACATACCATATGGAATGATGGCACAGGAGAGGGCCGGATGCGGTTGCTAGAACCCAGCCTGTTTACTGCCATTAGAGCTGCATTTCAGCTGCCCTTAAACCAGCACTGCTAAAACTGACGCACCACTCAAAACCAGGCTGTTTCACCTTCCCTGTTTCACAGTGCTGGGAGTTGAAGCTAGCATGTGCTTCCTCCTCTAGAATGAGCTTCAGCAGCTGCAGATGCTGTCATGATGATGGGATTTGAACTCTGCTTAGCCTATTGCTCTACTCATGTCCAAAAATGTTTACTACACTGTGAAAAAGATTTGTTTCAAATTAAAGTAACATGGCTGACTTAAAAGTTTGTTAATCAAACATCGGAACAATTTTATTGTTCTATTAACTTGATGAACACAGAATTTTAAGCAGCCACAAGTTATTTAAAATGAAATCTGAATTAAACTGCAAACTGGGATATGTAGTTGTGTTCCTAGTACTGAGGCAGATTGTGTTGGACTACATGAAATTAACATTTTAGCCCAACATGAATCTTTGATCAAACAATAAACAAAACGTCACACAGGCACAGGCCAGAACATTTTAGGTTAGATTTTTGCAGTGTATATGGCCGAGGTCTGAATTTAAACAATTTAAACTTATGTTTTATACATACATGATAGTCGTGTAGCTCATTTCAGCACTGGCAGTCTTTGCCAGAAGTGGCCCAGATCTGTTTTAAGACATGTGGGCCAAATGCATTTTTAACAAGTGGGCCAGTTTTGGCTCACATGCAGTTTGCTAGTGGTAGCAGCTCTGCCATATTTCTGACCCAGATGTGTTTTGGCACACATGGGCCAAATAAGCATTTTAAGTATGGGCCACTTTTAGCTCACATGCAGTGTATCAACATGGACCAGCAGTGCCGGAAGTGGCCCACATCTGCATGCTGTCTGGGTTAGCATAGCTAAACACATTAGCAGCAACTGTCTATAGTTACAGACAGACTGTGTTTGGAAAGTTATACAAATCTGATTTTGGGCCAAACCATCGTGACCATAAAGAATTACATATTGTTCTCAAGTTGTATCGACACACGTGCGTCTAGCTAGTTCTGACCTCATAATCTGATTGGTTGAAAAGTGTCATGTCAGTTTTTTTGTTTTTTTTTGCTGTTTTGTCGGTATGATGATAAGATGAAGGAGCTACAGTTTGGTGGATGAAATTGCCACTTTCAAATGTGTGTTATAATAAATTTTGCTGTATTATTGAAATCTGCATATTCAGTCATTGAGATGCAAACATCATTCAAAAGTCATTCAGAGTGGTTTGATATAAAAACTTATAGGAACCAGGGTTTGTGATGTCTTCTGAGTTGTTTATGTAATGTTGATGGCAAAATAATACGAAATGTAAATAAAAGAAATTTTCTTTGGGAACTGTTTTGCCACACGACGCCCTGCATGTATCCCTCCACCATGAATGGATTTAAAAATACATTTTAGTCCCATCAGGCAGTGTATTTACAACCATTTCATGTAATAACTTTCTGTGAGGGAGCTTTTAGAGGTGGATGTCTGGTTCCTATCACCACCACTGTGAACAATTATGACTCTAGAACAGAGCATTTCACACCAAACCACTCTGAGTGATTTTGTTTATGTCTTAACCATTTAATTATGCAGGAATTTTAACAAATTGGTGGAGTTCCCCATTGATGGTCCAGTCAAACCTCTCCTCTGTTCCTCTCTAGTGCCTGTGGATCGCCTCCCCGTGTTGCTTATCGCCAACTCTCAGAACATCCAGGCTACATCCCTGAGCGGCGCCAGCAGCAGCTCCCTGTACACCAGCACCAAGCAGACCACCGCCATGGACTTCCTCTACGATCAGGAAATGGTCTGCTGGATTCACGTGGGCGACACGCCCGCAGGCACGCAGCTCAAATGCGCCAATATCCCTAGCCTGAAGAGCTTCATGGACGAGAGAGTCATCAACATTTCCCTCAGCCTGCACAGTAAGTGGAGCAATGATGCGGGGCAGGGCGGAGAGCTTTGAGTCAGGCTGTGATTTTGATGCGTTTGGTTTAGTTTAGTTTTGTTTTGGTCATGAATCTGAGGTCAGTTTGCTGCAAAGAGGAGCTACAGTGTCTTCATAACAGCCCCAAATCAAACCTGATGATCATCTCTGTCCATTATCTCATCAATCTAACACATCAAAACCTTTCAGAATTTCAGAAAACACTGTTCGTTTTTCCCATAAACAAAACCAGCTTAGGTCTAGAGTTCCTTATATGGGTGTGACTCTGACTGCAGAACTGTGACTTCAGTGCTCTCACAAAGTGCGATGAAGTTGTACTTTGGACGGTTAGGCCCGAAACATACTTCATGCAAGGACGCGAACGCGAATGACAGCACTAGTTCAACCCACTGCAAACTCTCAGTCCTGTGCGTTATTACGTTGCTGTGGCGGTTAAAACACTCAGTACTAAAGGGGGCGATAGAGGGCAAATCGGAGAGGGATCTACTGTTATTCCAACAGCCTCAACAGCTAAACGTGGACAGTAGAGGAGAGTGAGCTGCTTTACCTCTTCTCTTGAAATGGAAATGCGATAATGTATGAGACTCAACTGCTCGTCTGGTATGGCAGTTGTGAAAGCACGCTGGTGGTGCAAGACCGCTTGGTCAGGCTTGGCTGTCGTTATAGCGCCCCTTGCTGTAACGCTTAGAATGCAGCACTATGAAATGCGTCGAAACCCCGTCTGCGTAGCTCGAAGCGTCTACGTTTGCGTCCTTGCGTGAAGTATGTTTCGGGCCTTATGGCTCACACTTAAAAAGATGGTTCTTCGAGGGTTCTTTGGGTAAGGCCATGGTTCTGTTTAGAACTTTGAGTTCAATATAGAGCAATTTATCCTTAATTGGTTCTTTGCGTGGTGAAATGGTTCATCAGATTGAAGGCGTATGTGTTGTATATGCTTCTGTATAGAACCTTTTTGACATTGGTCCTATACAGAACCATATTCATACACATATTTAACACATTCTCCATTAATCTGACCATTTCACCATGCAACCATTTAAATGGTTCTTTGAGTGTTCATGGTTCTGTGTCGAACCATTGTCTTTACTAAAGAAATACAGAAGAACAAGAGTGTGTGGTTCTATATAGCACCAAAAAGGGTTCTTCTGTTGTTACGATGTCAAGCTTGTGACAACAGAAGAACCATTTTTGGTGCTGTATCGAACCATTTTCAACAAGGATCTATATAGAACCATAGACAACACATTCTCCATCAATCTGAAGAATCATTTCACCATGCAGAGAACCATTTAAGCATGAGCTGATTCTATGTAGAACTCAAGGTTTTCAATATAACCATTCCCTTTTAATAAAGAACCCTTGAAGAAACATCTTTTTGAGAGTGCGTGTGTGTGCAGTTCCTCCAGGCAGGCAGAGCAGGCGATTGTGCTGGTTGGCGTGGCCGCCAGTCTGGCTGCCTGTTCTGAGTCACATGTTGCTGCAGCTCAGAGCTCCATACGAGCGGCTGGAGCAGAGAAGAGCAGAACTTTCCATCTTTGTCTAATAAAATCGGGGGAGGAGAGAAGCACATTTGGCTACGTTAAGAAAGACGTTTGTGTATAAGAGGGTCAGCGCCCCTTCGCTCCCCCTCCCTGTCGTTAGCCCAAATATATGGCAGGTTTATGATCTCGCTTCGGCTGAACTTTTACTCTGTGATTTCACCGGGAAAGCAGGCAGCTGTGCTTTTTTCCCTCGTCCAGAATACTTTTAAAGGCACACGTGTTCAGAGAGTTTTCCAGGGCCGAAAGCAGCCTAATGTGAAGGGGAATTAAAATATCTGCATAATTGAGTGTGTGAGGTGTAAACAGAGTGATTCAGAGTGGTTTGGTGTGAAATGGTTCAGATTTCTTTACAGTGGTGGTGATAGGAACCAGGGGTCACCATGACTACAACACAAATATAGACATTTTATTTACTATCCAAAACCACCAGTGAACCTACACGTGTTCTCTGAGCTTTATTTGGAATGTTGATGGAAAAATAATAAGTTTTCTTAGGGGATTATTTTGCCTCACAATGCCCTGCATGTATCCCTCCACGATGAATGGATTTTAAATCCAAGAGCTTCTCAAAACAATGTCTCAGAGATCAGCCAGTGTATTCATAACCATTTCATGTAATAACTTTCTGTGAGGGAGCTTTTAGAGGTGGACGTCTGGTTCCTATCACCACCACTGTGAACAGTTCTGACTCTAGAATGGAGCATTTCACACCAAACCGCTCTGAACAACTTTAATCATGCAGAATTTGCAAAAGATTGGAATTTGACGTACACTGTGTGTCCAAAGGTGTGTAGACTCCAGTGTTTCTTCTGGTGTTAATAGTAAGTTTCTGCTGCAGTAACAGCCTCTACTCTTCTGGGAAGGCTTTACACTAGATGGTGGAACATTGCTGTGAGGATTTGATTGAGCATTAATGAGGTCAGGTACTGATGTTGGATGGTCAGTTCTGGATCACTCCAGCTCATCCCAAAGGTATTGGATGGAGCTCCGTCATTCAAAAAGAACACAGTTCCACTGCTCCACAGCCCAGTGCTGAGGGGCTTTATACACCTCTAGCCCACACTTGGTATTGAGCATGGTGATCTCTCATGTGCAGCTGCTGTAGTTGGTCGGTGCTTTTCTTTGGATTATTCAGTGGTTGCACCTGAAAGTAGCTGGAAGACTGTATTCTATTATGGATACTTTATCGTCCAGCACTAATTGTGGCTAAATTTTCCTTTTCATTATGTGTTTCTTTACTGAAAGCATGTTATGGAGAATAAACATGTGCATATAAGAGACAGAAAAGCAGTGAGGGCATTAGAATGAGGAGGAGCAGAGGTGAAATGAGTTAAAGTGGAAACGTGTGAGAAAGAGAGAAAGAATTAGGGAGGTAAGGAAAAAATGTTGAAGTTTGAAATGTTTTGGAAATAGTGGTACTGAGAACAATAGACATGCCAGTGGCTGAACCACTGAATGGAATGAAGCAGAGAGAGAGAGAGTTATAGAGGAAAAAGTGCGGGTGGAGTTGAATTGGGACAGAAGGTAGAGGGATGACTGTGCTACACTCTGTCTGCTGTGCTGCTGTTATTTGCATTCCAGCTGAAAACCCTCTAAGCAAAGTTTACAGAGTTGCGCAAAATTCAGAGACCCTTTATTTATTTAATTTCTAGTCAAAACAGCCATTAAGTACAAGTTATTGATTTTTCAGTGTCTGAAATAAAGCAGAGAACATATTTAAATGAAAATTAGCCTCAACAACGAAATCTAATATCAGCTGTTGGAGTGTTCAGTGTGTCCTTCCTTACCTTTATTCCAGCTTTCATTCTTTTCAGGAGACTCACTTTCAGTTTTTAAAGAAATCTGCAGACACACCTCCAAAGTTCAGTCTTAGAAGTTGGTTGATCATTTTCTGAAGTAATCAAACACATTCAGTTTGTTTGATGTGTCTGTCTCCTTTTCTCAGTGAGGCTTCTTGACAGATACACATCCATAGCGCTGAGTTGTCTTGTCACAGTGGAAGGATGGACAGAAACACCTGTGGATGTTTTCAGATCTGAAGCAGCTTGATTTTCTCCTCTCTCTCAAAGATGAAAGCTTTAAGTTCTGTTTATCTGATGGGGCTTTTAATCATTTTTTGAACTTCAGTTTTGGAAACTGTATATGTGTGTGTGTGTGTGGGTGTGTGTATATATTTGCTATATCACCCACCTCTAGACACATGCTCATACTGTACACTCAGACCCAGTTTTCCCCCCTCCTCCTCCTCCTCTCCTTTTTCTCTTTCACTCCGTTTTGCACGCTGTCCTGAATGGGCATAGCTGTGGTCCACTGGAGCAGAAATTTGGGGCCTACCCACAAAACACTGGCCGGCATTAATTGACTCATTGAAGGCTTTTATGGCCTGACTTTTTATAGCGGCATCAGTGTTTCCCTTGTATAATTTCTGCAGGCTGGTGGTGAACCATAGAGGGCAGCGTGAGACTGTCAGACAGGCTTTCATCATTTGCTGTCTAAATTAATTTTTGGCTCCATGCATGGATTAATCAGTTCATCACTTATTGTAGCCTAATAGACACTTCACCTTTTGGGTCTGTGGGGTTGATGATTGCGCCTTAAATTTTCTGTGTCTGTATCTGTTTCTGTATCTTTCTGATAATCCAGCAAACATTCCCTGAATCTGTAGAGTCGCCCTTTCCATTCCATCTTATCACGAGATCATATGTGACTCACATCCAGAGTTATGAGGCCATGAAGAGGGGCTGAGATACACGTTATCTGCCTCTCACCGTGTGGAACTGGTGGATTCGTGTGTCCTACATTCTACATTCTGTGTGAAACTGACCAAAGGACACTCAGGAAATCATTAAGGACTGACCCATCACAACGGAAACCCTTCATTCTTCATTCATTCCACATCGGAGACACATGTGAAATGGTGTGCAGAGAGTTTACAGCTGCTGAAGTTGCTGCAGTGGTTTTGGAAAGTAGTGATGAAGATAATGGAGCATTTTGATATGAACATATAAGTATCATGCTCAATGGAGAATATTGACCAATCCAGAAGATGCCCTCAGACCCCAGAGAGTTAAAGGAACAATTTGAATGGACACAATCCAGTCATTGCCATTAATGCAGGCGAGCAGCCAAAACAGGTTTGGTGTCCGAGGTTTGGATCCATTAGAAGCTGCGCTTCTCAGTGATTTTATAATCGGGATAAACAGTGCTGTAGTGTGGAGTTAATTTTGTGCCAGAAGTTTTAAATAAAATTTATAAAATCCACAAGCAAAATGTTAAGTATAAAAATGTCCAAAATATGTACAACACAAATAATGAGAGTTAAAATCAAACTTTAAATGCCCTCTTCTAAAACCCACCCCCTTTAAAAAAAAAGTGCCAAAAGTCAGAAGCAAAAGAGAAATTCCAGAAGCAAAAAAATATATCAGCAAAATCAGCA